ACCAAATCACTGCCTGGTGGGCTGAGGAGACCTTGTCTCACACCCATTCCAGAGCCCAAGGGCTGAGACACAACAGCCTGTACATGCAAAGAAAAGTCATAGAATCATGGAGTGGTTGGTTGGAAGGGACCTTAAAGACCATCCAGTTCCAACCCCCTGCCATGGGCAGGTACACCTTCCTCCAGACCAGGTTGCCCAAAGCCCCATCCAGCCTGGCCTTGAGCACCTCCAGGGATGGGGCATCCACAGCTTCTCTGGGTAGCCTGTTTCCAGTGCCTCACCACCCTCAGAGTAAAAAATTTCTTCTAAATATCCAAACTAAATCTACCCTTTTTTAGTTTAAAACCATTACTCCTTGTCCTATCATTACACTCCCTGACAAAGAGTCCCTCCCCTTGTATCCTTGTGATCCAGATCCAGAGACATCTGAGGGCACTGCCCTTCTGACTCGTCCACAAGTACCATCTCCAAAGAGCAAATGTAAGGCTTGGGTAAGACTCTGAAGAGCAGACATCCTTCAGCACTTTCTTCTGAGTCAGTCAAGGAAGTTTCTGTTAAGCCAAATCCCTTCCGAAGCCTGTAAAGTCATTTGTTTTATACCAAAAAGATATTTATAAACAGAGAAGCATGGTATCTGTGCAGCTAACGAAATGCTCATGACAATAATTCATTATCTTGCAGCTTATAATGTATGATTATCCACGGGGTATTGTTTTTGCTTTCCGAGTGGATAATAGGGCATTTAACAGCTGAATGATGAGTGGAGAACCGTATGTAAGCCTGATAATTCAGTACTTCTAGGTATTCATTTATTCCTCCTTGTATCATCTGAATATTCACACAAAACAGAAGCAAAATAAACCTACACATAAGGAGTAACAAGTAACCAAAACAACGTGCACAGTATTAGGGCTAGGTTTGAATTGCCTGACCAGGGCAGCTTAGGAGAGCAGCAGTTACTTGATATTTTTGCTTCGTGTTTCCGTAAAACAGTTGCCCAGCAGATTGCTATCCTCTTTGCAAAAATGTGAGTTGGAAGGTAACCGGAGGGGTGGTTTGGTAGCGTGAGGCTGGTTCTTAGCTAGCAAAGACTGACACTTTTGCTCACTTTTTTTTTCTGCCAGTCTTCCTATAGTTGGACCAGTGACAAATTTCTTTTGAAGCAGAATAACAATTCTTGCTGAAGTGAAAATAGCAATTTCTCAAATCTGCTGAAAAAAGAACTACAATCACATTAAGTCTCAAAGTTTAGAGAATAATTTCCGGTGCTGTATTTTGGAAATAGAAGCTTTTTTAGGAACACCATTTTTGCTAAAGGGAAGCAAACACCTGGGCCCGTTGTGCTTGCCCTACTCGGCACTTACCACTGAAAAAGCCAACATCAGAACCAGTCAGTTTTTTCAAATCTGAAGAGAAAACACTGGCAAGGCTGCCTCGGTGGGATGCATCACCTCCACAGGTCTGCAGCCATGTCTGTTACTGGTTGGCCTCATAACTTTGCACACTGACTTGCTTTAGGACCCCATTGCTAGTTCTGAATTTTATAATCATGCTGTTTAGCAAAGCTAGTTGCAAAAGCTGGAGACTCACACTATAAAACATCAGTGCTTTAGGACCCACTTCAAACTGAAGTCCTAGGCCAAATGTATTAGATAAGATTAACTAATTTTGCCTAACTTGTAGGCAGTATTTCTATAACACCATGAGATACTGAGGATGGCAGGATCTAGTGAATGACCACAGTAAGGGTGACTTAGAAATTTGCTTTTCCACAGATCAGAGAAATGAATTAAATTGGACTTATTTCATAAAAACAAGCTCCTGTTAGATACATTTGAAAGCAAGGCCATCCATATGCAGACAGTAACTGTATTCAGCCACAGGAAGGCACGATGACAGCCTCCTACCTTGATAGCCATGGAGTTCACATGAAAGGAATTTTCTTTTGGTGATTAAAAAAAAAAAAAAAAAAAAAAAAAGAGGATTTTACAGAATATGCATATTTTCTAACTGAAATGAACCCAGACTAATTCTGGGCACCCATAACCCGCAGTGGCATACCTTGTCCTACCCTCCAGATCTGAACACTTCCGCACACATGAACTTTACAAACAGCTAAATGCAGACCCACAGAGTTCACCTGGGACACTACAGGTGCAGTCAGCAAAGGCTTTTTCAGTGCCTGCCCTGGACGATGAACCATTCCCATACAGAGGGAGCTTTCCCAAATTCCCACATTCACTAAGAAGGACTGCTAATGAGAAACACCGATAAGAAATGCTGTGAGGACAAGATGGCATTAAAACAATCCCCACACAGTGCACCCCAGGCAGCAGGAACCCCACCTCATCGGTCTGCACCAAGCCTGTGTGCTGGGCCAGGCCACAGACACGAAGAGGACACGATTAAAAACTGTAAGTGCCTCAGCTAGGGTATAAGCAATTTAAATCATTTATCAAATCTCTTGAATATAACAACCATTTTCAGTTAACTGACCACTGACTGAAGTCTCAGGAAATTTGGGGCATATTTGCTTCATGCATCACAGAATCCGGTATTTCTTAATTTTTTGCATAGTTTAAGATTAGCTGTTTCTCATGTTGTCACGCAAGGTTTATTCAGCCCATAGATTTAAGGCGTGTTTTTTTGCTCAGAAAGGTATGTTCTGAGCTCAGAGGTGAGTGCTGGGGAGCTTGGTCTGATGGGCGCCTTCCCTGGAACATGAGCAAAGAGTTCGTGGAGAGCCACTTGCCAGCTTGGGACGTGAGAAATGATGGATCGTTGTCCTAAATCAGCATGCACGACAGCAACCACGTATATATTGTATGAGTAGGTTGATGGATTACAGCATTTACAGAATGCAAAAGCTTGCTTTCATATTTTTTCTCCAAAATTGAGGGTGAGCAGCAAAATGGGCATAATTGAAAGCACAGCATTAGTTTTATTTATGAAGAGTATTAAGATCTTAAATACGAAGTGTTGTAGGTAATACAGACATGAATAAGTGTTTTTAGCTAAGAAACTGTAAGGAAAAGAAAGGAGTATAGTTAATGTTTCTTCTGGGAAATTCTTCCTTTTTATTAAGTATCACCATTTATTAATCATATCTAGGCAATTCCTAGCTTAATGGTACATTCAAAGTAGGTTATTTGAAATTTAATTTGGAATTCATTCAAATGCAGCTTACACCATAGAGAAGTCCTCACTCTTCAGAGGTCTCATCTGTAGATTAAATGCTTTCCTCGGTGTAGGAAAACCCATAGCCTACATATGTGAGAATGCAGTTAAAATACTGGCACTGCAAAAGGATTTCTCAGATACTTTTTTTTTTTTTTTTCCATATTTCTAGAGTTTCTTTGGAAAATATGCTGTCTGACCTCCTGAGGGAGCAAAGCATCTTCTCCACAAATTAGGCTGGAAAGCTTAGGAGGAAAGCAGCCATTTGCTTGAGCCTTGTGCTGTGTGGGTTGCTAATTTGAGTTTCTGTAAAATGGAACCAGCTTCAAGGACCTCAAACGATTCCTATCAAGCGCTGACATTTCCAGATAAGGGGAACATTAGCTCCTACGTTGTCTTTCTCTGCAGCTTCGGGAGGCTGACTCTTAGCCCTCCTGCTTTACAGTATTGCTGTATTTACTCTAGCTTTTGTTTTTAATGCCAAGTGGCTAGAATTGCTGAGAGGATTTCTACTCTGTGTAGGGAAGAAAATGCTTTTTTTATGAGACAGAAACAGCCCAGCAGAACAAATGAAAAAGTGTAATTTTTATAGGCCTGGAGGTGAGGAATAGAGAGTATTACGAGGATAATTTCATGGGAAAAAGTCCCCTCAGGTATTTGAAACTCTCAAGAGGCATTTGAAAGAAGGAAATTAATTCAAGAACATCTTGCCAGCCAGGTTATTGATATAGGAGTGGATGTCGCCAAGAGCTGTGTGGGAGGGAGAAGCCTGGTGTTGCTGGCAGCTGTACGAAGTAGGCATGGCCAGGAGCTGGCATCCTGCGTCCTCATTTGCTGCTGGATCGTGATGAATAATCACAGCTTTTTAAGGTGCTTCTGTTCAGAAGGTCAGGTCTGGTCCCTGTCTCGGTGATGCTCCAGCCCAGCTGGACCAGGGCACACTGCTGCCTGGTCCATATGCCCAGTTCCCATCCCATGAGGTCAGTGGGGAGGCACAGTAGTGCCCAAACCAGAAATTTAATGTTTTTCATCGTGAAGGCTGAAGGATTTTGGTCAAGTTGGACAAGCACTGGTGGAGAGACTCATTGCAAGGGCTGATGAAGGGCACCTCATCCTCATGCTGTTCCCAGAGAGTTCTGCTGGTGGCCATCCAGAAAATCCCCCCACACTGCTGGTGGTCACACCTGCTGGTAGGTTCCCTCACCACTGCAACAGAAGTTGTCCCAAAGCACCTCCTCTCAATTAACGTAAGGAGAAATGCCATTTCATCACTTGTGTAACGAGCTTAATAACGTTTAACATTCACTTCATACTGATGTTGGTTGCTGACCCCAAAACAAAGCTGGGCCAATTGGGATTCATAGTTTTAATGACACGGGTAACTGAGCAGGAAGACAGTCACTTTATTTAATTCTTTACTATTGCTGTTATCAGTACTGCTGATGTTATTTCTACAGCAGCACTAGGAAGCCTCAGGTATCGACCAGCAAGCTGGGTGCTATGCAAGCACGTGTCCAAAAAGTGACCATCACTACAGGCAGTTTGTCACCTACATGGAAACAGTGCACGACTGCAGTGCTGCCTAATCATCTTCTGGATGCTTTTTTAATGAGTTTATTATTCATATTATTGCTCCAGCCCTGTATCAGGGACATTTATTTTCTGTTTTTGTTATGGAAATACATCAGCTACCATTTGTTGTTGCTCTTCCCGTGCTCCTGTTGGGATACTACAAACACTAAAGCTGACAAGCTCTGTATTTAAAGGTGGGGGAACATTTATTTCAGAATAGAAAGTAGTGTTCTTTCTCTCTCTCTTTTTTTTTTTGGCAGCCTTCAAACGTGAATGAAGCCTTCTATGAAAGAATTGAAATGATGGGGTTGTGGTTTTATTTTTAAACCTAGAAATTCAAGTGCAGATTTCTATCCAGCTCATATTTTCAGTGTTTTAAGGCATTAAGTACTCCCTCTCCCACCCCCCCCAAAAAAAAAAGGAAAGATTTTTTTTTAAAAAAAAGGCAAGGAGCTCTGTATGAGCATCCACCGTGGCAGCAAAACTTCCCTAATGAATCGTTCCATTTTCAAGTGACCTCATCTATGATTTGTGTCCTCCGTGCAACTCCTCCATTAAGAAACTTCTGTGATTGCATAGTTCAAATCCACACACGGAGCCTGAGGTTTTTTTTTGTTCTTCTTTTGCAGAGCAATGGTTAGTAATGACCTAAGTAGTGCTTCAGAGCCCATTTGGAGTTTAGCATTTCCTTGAAGACAGACAGGCTTGAGTCTTCTCAAAATAGCTTATCAGTAAGTCTCCTCTTGGCAGAGTTTCACTGATTTAAACCCAAGAATAAGGAATTAAGCAAATGTGTGGGGGGTACTGGGTTTGAGTAACAAAGGCTTGCAATGCACTGCAGATACCTTCTTGGTTAAAATGTGCTGAGCTGAAAAGAAAAATGGGGTTTTGGTTTTGTTCTCCTATTAAATAATTTTGAGAAGCAATATTACGAAAATTATGAAAAGCATCAGTGATAACCATCTCTGGCACATCGAGGAATGCATTCATCAGGGACAGCATGAAACAGAAACCCATAAACCGATAGGATTATTGGTGCAGATGTTGCCCATGGCCATGCTCAGGATTGTCTTGTTACTGCAGCTATTCAGCAGCAAGCCTTCCCAACCCGCCTTTTAAAATCGCTGGTGCCAAACTGCTGCAGGCCAAAAACAGTCATTTTGCATTTGGCTGCTACCTGTTACCATTCTTTCCCCTCCCAGCTAGTGCATGCTTAACCCCTGTGGTGTCTGCTCCATTTCTTTTCTTTGGTGCTCACGTTTAAATGGGTCATATTTACAGCTTCTGTGTTGTTGAACAGGGACCACGAGCGCTGAAAAGCAAAAAATTTAACACTTTTAAAGAGGCTACAACAGAACAGAGGAATCGAGCACTATGGGGAAGGTTTGGGCACCGGTCCCTCAGCAAAGGGAGAGGAGCAGCCCTTTAAAAGGGAGGCTCCCTTGCAGGAATGGCTCTCCCAAGAAGAGCAGGAGGAAAACCTGCGACAAGTTGGATCAGAAGGCTGGATGAGCTGAACTGCGGCCCAGCGTGGAAGCGTAGGCTCATGCACGGCCCTCAGTGCACAATGAGCCATCCGTGCTGTCAGCACAAGGCTTGGACACGGACCAGGCATAGAAACCAGGCTTGCGTTTCGGCTTGAGCAAGAAGTTATTTGTTCGTTTTAAGTCAATATAAACCATCTCCAGCCCTCCTTAGGTTTGTCACTCCCTAAGTGACTTCTCTCACTCTTCAGCTATTCGCCTGCAATACAGCGGGGGCCATCGTTACACGGGCTTTGGAAGAAATCCCAATGCATACAAAGACGCCTCCCACTTGAAGTGTTGAGGGCAAGCCATGCGCTACCAGCACATCCTGGCTCTAGCCACCCCTTTTGCGTCCCAACAGACCTGCTGTAGAGCTACAGCCCACCTCACTGCCTGCGCTGTGCCCCAAAATACAGTAGGTTGTCACAGAACAGGCAGATAAGTGTGAATTTTGCTCCACAGCATTTGGATTAGATGCTCCAGAGGGCAGATGTGCAACACTAAATCTCTCTTCCATTCATACTCAACCTGCACCTCTGACATTTGTACAACTGAAAGCATTTTGCAGTTCATTTGGGCAAGCACGAAGAATGAGTTACACTCAGCTGCTGGTAATGCTGGTTCATGATTAGGCATGAACCTCCTCATACCTGTGGATGAAAGCCAAAGCTGCTTTCTGTTTGAATACCTCTGTGCTTTGTTCCCATTACCGCCTAAGCCACCAGACTCCCCTTTTCACAGGTTTGTCACAAAGAACCACAGAGCACCCCCGCACCACTGCCTGGGATGCATTTGTGCTTCCAACCCTCACGTGCCACACATGGCTCTCTGCTGATAAGTGCCTTCAGCTCCTCCAGCTCCACATTAAGACAGGGACCCCACAAATATCTGGCATCTGCAGTTTTGCTTTCAAACTAATCAATCAGACAAAGTCTGAGCAACGTTTTTTTACCTTATAAGCAGCAGAAACTTCCAAAGCTGCTCAGCACCTTTCCTCAGCTCCTGTTTCCCCCCAGATCTATCATTTTAGATATTCAGCTGGCAGTGCCATAGCAGTTATCCTGGAAAGAGCTCCAGGACTGGACCAAATGGACATACCAATTCTCTCTCCAAACCCAGTCTCGCTGGATGCATCTCAGCTTGAGCACATCTCCCAGCTCTGGTGCTTCCAGCAGTGGAAAATAGCCAGCTGTCTTTCTCCACAGCACATCCTTTGTGTGTTTCTTATATTTAACTTTTATTCCCTATATGATTAAAGAGTTTATATCCTTTTTTTTTTTTTTTTTTTTAAAAAAAAAAGGCCTCCACTGACTAGACAGCAAATTTACTCTTGTGGTTTTTCCTGCTTCTGAAGCAGTTCACAATAACAGGCCTACTTGTCCCCCCCCCCCCAACTATTTTACTTTTTCTAGGTAGCGTGAGTCATGAGTTTCCCAAGTGCCTGAGAAAACATCCCTTAATTCTTCCTTAGTTGTCCTTTGTCTTCCAGGGAATGCACAGCCCTGGATGGGGTGGATCTCTGGCTGCAAGCACTGATGGCTCACGAGGAATTCCCCACATCAGTGGTGCTGCCATCCTCTGCCCAGTCTCACACACAGGCATCCCCTCCCTCACCCCTGCATGCAAATGCCTCTTTGTGGCAGGCATTTCAGTAAACTCTTACTCTAAAAAAAGATTATATATGGTGTCTGAAGTGAATTCGTTTTTGATTATGTGAAATCCACGTTCAAAGAGCCCTTTTGCAGACCACACACTTGAAAAGCAACATAAACATCAAAAATCTAAAGCCATACTTATGTATACACATATATGAAGGTCTGTTTACATGCATATATTTAGATAATCATATATCATTTAAACTTCTTCCTCCCCAAAAGAACAGTTCATGAAGTAGAATAAGTAGCGCCACTCTGAGAACATATGACCCAACAGCAAGTCCTCTCACAAGTGCTTTTTATTCTTAACGCAGGGAAATATTTCAGGCTGGGGACTCTGAAACCCAATCTGTAGCCAGCAGTACCTTGGTTGACTGAGTTTCTTTTCACCTTGAGTAACTTTGAGCACGACTAAGCGATGAGGACTTGCTGGAAGCTTCATCCAGCAAGCAACACCTCTGCTGCTTGGCTGGGCAGCGGTGACTGTCACCAGCACTTCATGCACTGGGAGTGCTTTTAATACGGTTACACAACGCTTACAATTTTAACATTATTCTAACAACAAGCTGCTGGTTTAGCTCCATTTAAACACAGATTTCAATGCACTGAGAGCAGGATGAGCATGGGCCCACAACACAACCCCTTTGTGCTGTCAGCAGGCTGCCCCATCACACCGCTGACCATGAAACGCTGAAGGAGGCATCCCAGTGCTAAGTGCTGCGAGCCTGGGCTCTGAACTACGCTGACCAAGTCCTCACTTCATTTACATGCAACTGCTACGATTTGCCTTCACTGCGTCTTCCCGTTTGTGTGCTTGATCCCAATTACGACTAAATTTAACACCAAAATCTAAACAATATGTTTCAGACAAGTGAACCATATTGAGCAAGAATGTAATCCAGAACTGGATGCTTAACTTCAAGCCAGGAACACACAATTTCAATAATGAAATCTTTTACAGACAGGATTTAATTTTCATTGTATTTATATTCTTGCTGCCTAATCAAACCCACATGGAAGGCGCTGCACTCAATGAAACTCCAACATTACTATTTCGACAGACCAGCCCGTTCTCAAACCTACTACCAGTGCTTAGCTCAACAGGTTGTTTTAAAACATTTTGGCACACACCTTTTGCAAGAGCGGTGCCCTGGAGCACCCAGGCCTGCTTTCACTTTTCCTCCCAGCGTGATCGGCAGCCACACAGCTCAGCCACCATGCGCTCTGCCTCCTGCTTTCCAGCTCTGCCAGGGGCTGGCAGCACAGCCACTGAGAAGTCAAAGTTGTCATCATCCATGTATTTCCTCGAGCAGTCACTTGCAGTGCTTTTGTCTAAGACTTGTGCCCCTTGCAGCTCACGAGCCTTCCTGCCTTGCTTAGCACTTTGTTTCTCAGATTGATTTTATTTAGTGGGCAAGGGTTAAGAACAGCTCTGCTTTCTTGGCAGCGCTCTGCACTGTCTCCTCTTTCTCTCTAACGAAGATAGTTAATTATAGTTTGTTTTCCAACAACAACTGTTTGAGTGCTGTGGGTCCTCCCTGGTTTAGCTTAGTTAATCGTATCTGAAAGAATGAATCTCTATAGTATCATGAAAAGCCATGAGAATCCAGGGATTTTGAGCCCACTTACTTTCAAATTAATGCACACCAAAAATTAGAAGCTGTATTATGCAAGTATTTTATGCATGTTATATCTCAGGTACTTATTAAAGCGTCTCAAGAGGCAACGGCTCCTTTTGCATGGTGCAATTACAGGCAGAGCTCCTGAATTACTGTGGTCAATGTGCAGTCTGGCAGTTTAAGTTTAACATCTCACGAAGCACTTACCGAATTGTGACCACATGGACATCAAAGTTCAGAACTGCACCGAAATCTTGCTCCTCCAGCACCTCCCACAGCCTCTTCCACCCAGCACCCTCTACCTCCTCTCTCCCCAGCTGTATCCTCGCTCCCTTTCCTGCTTTCTTCTCCCAGCCCCTCAAGCCATACCTGCAGGAGAGCACGGTTGTGTCACAACCCCAGCAGCTGCAGAGTGAAAAATTCTCCAGCAGATTTGCTCTTTAGAGCAAGGACTGCCAGAGATCACTTTTAACAGCCAGTTAGCCCAAAGTGCACCCTTTCTCCATAGCTTGCTCTACACAATCAGCTCCTTGCCTTAGTGGCTGTGTGGGGGATACGGAGATGTGACTCCCTGGAGACTAAACACAAGTGACCTTGAAAAGCAAGCAGCACAGCCACACAGATGCCCATTATTGCCTGAAGCAGTTCCCAGACACTGCTTGGAGAAGGGAAATCACCACTAGCCCCTTCAACTGCAGGAAATCCTCACCTCCTCAACGCTTCTGTCCTGGCAAAGCCCCTTCCCTGTGCTGTGAAAGCCTTTGCAAAAGAAGGCTCTGAAGTTCCCGGCTCCTTCTCAGAGGCCCAGCTACAACTGAAGAGCAAAACCCCCTGCTTATGACTCATTAAGTCTCCCAGGAAAGTGAAAATCCCTCTTCATTAAACAGATATTTAATCCCATACTTTACTACTTAGTAAAGTTAAAGCAAGCATGTACCTTCTAATGGGATTCGACTCTTCTTGCACACTCAGGCTAGTTAATCTTTAGTCAAAACTCATCACTATGTGCTTTACCTTGCATTTATTCAGGGTAACATTCTCCTTCTGTAACCCTTCTTCCCACACCTTATAAATGAATTGTTTGTGTTACCATAAGCAGCAATGGAAGCAGCTGTGGGATGAGGCAGCAGGAAAGGTAAAATTTTCTGGGTATAAAGTTAAAAAAAAAAAAAAAAAGAATCAAGAATGAGAGCCGATTGCTGTATCAACTTACATTTCCCCCAACAGAGACCATCCTTTCTGTGCCACGTCCAGGGTATGAGCACCTGAAGGAACTTGCGGTCAGTTGTGATTTTGGGATGTGCTAACAGGAGCTGGAATCAGTGTGATAGCACTCACTTGGACAGCTCTAGTGACTACGACTGCTGTCAAGACAGTAGCTCAGGAAGTGTTGTGGTAGTTTCAATTCCTTCTACTAAGGCCTTTGATGCTAACATACTGTGAGGTCACCCAGAGCTGTCCCAAATCCCACTGTAAGCTACCTCAAGTATTTCACCATACAAAATGCGACCGCTTTCCAGACAGAACCTAAAGCCAGCGTCCATATCCATGCACGTGTTCCACTGTTGGTGTCAGCTCGCAGCCATGTGTCACAGCAGAGAGGAGCAGCACAAAGGGCACAGTGTGAGGCTCGCTGCTCTCAGATCACTGGGCTGTGGGAACAAGCAGGGCCTGTTTCACCTGACCAAACTCTCTTTGCCAGTGTTCCTTTGCCACGTTCCCAACGTGCAGGCACACCTTCCAACCCTCCCCAAGTTCAGATCAAGCCATTTATTTGTGAAATACCTCATTTCCTAGAGCTACCTATTACTCTGGAGCTCTCGCATTACCACAGGTATTAATAGAGTACTCCGCTGCCTTTCTCAAGTAGATCACGGTACGAGCTGCCCCTCACTACAACTCATGACCACACGGAATATTAATTGCCTCCATCTGTATTTAGACACCTCCGAAGTCACCCAGCTACCAAAATGCAGAGCACCAGACAGCCTATTTGCCTTAGCAGGACTGCTCACGCAACTTAAACACACTGCTGCTCACCAGTTTGAATCTCTTGTACCTCTAGCGATGTTCCTACAACTACAATTCCTGCAAGATCCTACAAAACACAGGAAGGATTTTAATGCACAAGCAGCTCAACATTCAGTAGTGAAACTTACTTTTATAAAACACAGAAATGCAGAATTTCACTACAGCTGAAGAACATTCACAGCAGCTCTGCAAGAGACCAAGCGTTGTTGCAAGAATGCAGTTTTCAAAAAATAAAGAGGTAAGAGCCATCAGATTAAGAACTGGGTTAAAAAAAAGTGCAATACTGGCTTTTGTGCAATGGTCCTGACAGTCCAACTAAACTAAAACTGAAGTGGCAACCATTCATCAATTGTCTAAAGTTTTTTATTCATAAAGCACAGGACTTTATTGCTCACTTCAGAAAGTTATGCAGGTATTTCTGCAAGTAATTACTTTTGTGTTGGCTACACGAAGCCAGGTTTCAGCTCCCCCAGTCTGCAGTTAATTGCAGTGAGGTTTCAGCGAAACACCTCTAGGATCTTAAATATAGGTTCAGCTGCACTGAGCTATTTTCACTTCCATTAGCTCCAGTAATTCAAAAAACAAAACCTGGTCACAGGAAAGGTTATTTCTAGATTACAGAAAGCACGATTAACATGTAGTTGAGTTTCTAGCCTGTTTCATAAAGCAAGAAAATAGCCTTATTTGAATGGCATTTGCTAAGGTTTCTCAAATTCCACTTCCCTCCTGAAATAAAGCAGAAAATAAACTTGGGCTTGCACAGCAGTTCCAATTTGCACTCCTAAGAGCCCACCTACTCTTTAAGCTTAATGCCCTGTTTCTGCCAGTAGTTTGGCCTCCTCCTGCTCCAACCAGGATGCTAGCCTGTCACTGCACGGCACCAGGTAGGCACCTATACACTGCTCAGCTCCGCTTCCCATTCCAAAATGCTTCTCCCATCCTGTTCTCCCCAGATTTAGAGAAGGGCCATCACTAACACAAAGCCACGCGGAACTCCCCAACCTACTGAAGTACAGCCACAGCTGCACAACCTGCTCTGGGTGAGTTTTCACAGCACTTCAGTGTGCCTGGACCCAGAAAAGTTTCTTGAATATAGCTGCCCAGGCAGCAGATACATACCCCAGCATCACTTACTGCTTTTTGGTGTCAGCTCACCACTTCCAATACTCTCTTTGTATTTCATTGGACCTTATGGTCTATTTATAAGTTGTTTATTACACAGTTGCTTAAGTCAGCAAGTTTACTTCTGTTTTTAGTAAAACAGTGCATCTTAGTTCTATGAAAGCACATGCGCAAGACTTGCCTTTTCCATCAATTTCTACAGCATTTTTAGGTTACAGATACAAGTGTTAGATTTGTAATTAAAACTTCACCTTCTAGAGATCTGACTTTGAGCTGGTAAAACAAGAACACTCAACTGTATCATGTCCAGTAGCATCCCAGGACTAAGTACCTGCAGGCTGTGCACCTTGCCTTCAGTCTGCATTCCCCTGCGCTCTTCAATCTCCTCCTGTCACACAATGGCCAGAAACTGTGGCTGTTTAGCATGTGTGCTGTCTCATCATCACACCCAATAGTATTTTGGTAAATCTCAAAACACAAATACATTGGTAAATCTCAGGATTGTATGGAAACTCTGACCTTGAAGAGAAAACTGGATGAGACATTTTAGAAATAAAAAAAAAGCTGTATTTTCAGTTCAGCATTTAAACTGCAGCACCTATATACAGAGTTGAAACATGGACACACAGCTGGATCAATACACACAGGCAATCTGGGTCATACCAGATACATTCAGCCTCAACTTTCAAAGTATTTGACAGCAAACGCCTTTGCTATTCTCCAGCTTGCAGAAAAATAAGCTGGCATGATTTCCTATTTGAAGGAGCAGTCAAAGACTTGTACTGTTTTAGAAATTTGTGTAATTTACTCAGCATGTTCATTTGTCGCTCCTCCAAGTAGGAGAGGCACATAATTAAATAGACACTTCAGAGTTTCAGAGGACCAAAAAAATAACGCAGCAGTTTAGAGTATGTTTCCAGCGATGTGTTACCTAGCAGAAAACCAAAGATGCCAAAAAGTCATTGGAAAGTAAGTCGTATCAATGCAGCTACACAAATTGACATTCAGACTTTATTTTAAATAGCATCACTGTGTTTGTTTCCAGCTCCCACATCATCTTGATCAGACACTACTCTTAAAGGTTAGTCAAAACTCACCTCCCACTCAGGAACCCAGTCACGGCTGCATGCCTCACGACCTTTCACAAGCCTCACGCAACAAGAGCTGGCATACAAAACCCACGCGTGCCACACGACACAGCGCTTTTGGTGCATGTTTCTGGATGGCCAACGCATTTCAAGGCAAGAACAAAGCACAAGATCTGAAGCGTGGAGCTCTTCTTTTAGCCCTACCTTAGGGTCACGTGATGGCCTGTATTAAAGAAGTGCCACCAAAAGGTCACTATTCCAGTACGACTTGTAGGACAGGAGGCACCGCATGTCACAGGCACGTGGCAAGGAGAAGCCAAGGGCCACCAGAAGGCCAAGCTTTACTCACCTCACCTTTGCAGGTACTCGGCTTGACCACCATGGAAATAAAGCAGGCAGAAAACTGTCTCCGGCTGAAACATGAGAAAGCAGATGAACTCTTCCTTCCCACCACAGCTGGATTCAGGTTTGCTATCTGCTGCCACATCCAGACCAGTGAAAAAGACTTCAGTAGCTGGCTCCTCTATTCCGGGCCAAAGTTATACTGTACTAAGCTAAAATCCAAACATGCTACGCTCACCCTGAAAGAGCAAGCATATGCTCAATTCTGTGGGTTCTTGTAACTATAAGAATCTGGAGTTTTAACCACTAAATCTGAGTATCTAAGAGAACTATTTAAGGTTCACAGCCCTCCAAAAGGCTATTCAGTAGTCCAAAGATCGGTAGCTGTAATTTGCATTACTATAGCCTATTAAGCAGCAGCCACCCCTAAATTAAATATAGTGGTACTGCAGCCGCAACAATGCAAGGTGTTTCCCTATAACCGCACTGATTAAACAGACACCAGGCTTCCAAGTCCTTTTTAGCAGACGTCACACTGCACAACGTAAAGTGGCAGGCAATTGGCCAAAAATGGTTAGCAAAAAGGATTCCTTAGACCTCCAGTATCCAAATATAGCCCTGGCTGGTCACATGGGCTGCCATACAGTAAGTGCTCCTCACTTTACCTACCCTCTGATTAAGCAGTTTGAGCTAAAAAGCATGTACTTAGAATAGCATTTCAGCTTCCAGCCCAGCTCTATGAAGTGTATAATCTTGCTGTACCTTCCACATTCAGATTGGCAGGAAAGAAAAGTTGGTTTAGGTTTCTCATGAGCCCAAAGGGGATGATTAGCTACAGAAAACCAACAGAATATGAGATCCCTGATGTTTATGTATATACACATAGACAAGCACACACATATACGTGCATATATATATACACATATAAAAGCAGTGCATCTCTAACTTACCACAGAACACAGTGCAAAAGAATGCAGAACATGCTGTAAAAGCCTCACTCACTGACAAACTCCATAGTACATACTGATTTTTAATATTAAAAAAAAAAAAAAGCCATACCTTACTTTACCTAACCTTTAGCAATTCCTGCCTTCACGTTATGCTCATTATGTCGAGAGCCCATTGGTTGATTACGTCCTCACAAGAGCTCCGTGGCTGCTTACACGTCAAGAGGCTGTGCAAAGTTTCTGAAGAGAGATGGGCCTCCATTGTGCTGCTGCCAGACTCCAACTTCAACTGAAGTGGAAGGAAGCTGATCGTGGCCTGTCCCTTCTCAGCCCTCAAAGCCCCTGTCCACGTTGATTATAATGCAGGCATCAAGTAAGTTTATAAGACTTTGCAAGTGTATTAATAAATGCCATTCTCACTCGCCCTTCCAAAGCGCCCCCTCCCAAACAGCGACGCTCAAGTATCACGGTACTGACTTACAGCAAATCACACTGTTTTTGGAGAGGTTCAGAGGCTTGGATTTAGGTAGTAGCTATTACCTGGACCCATGCTTGGGGTTTTTAAGGTTCCTAAAGAGGAAAAAAAGCTCAGTGCCACCAAGCAAAGCCACAGCATTCACACAGCCAACTTAAACGCATTGAAGTTAGAGCAGGGCATTATGTCAGAGCTTTTTGCTAGGCGCACGGAGCCTTCCCTCCAGCTCCAGCGCTGGGTTCAGGTGCTGCTGTTGCACCCTCACAGCTCAGCGCACCGAGGCGCGGCGCACAGCACCTCCACACACCCCCCACGCCACGTCGAGCCGGCCTGGCCTCGCTCCGACACCCCCCGGCCACCCTGAGGCAGCTCTCCTTTCCCCCCCAGACACAACCCAAGACAACTTCGTGGCGTGAGGCCGGCGGGGCGCCTCACAGAGCCTTTATTCCGAGCTGGGGTGGGTGCGGGTGCCGGGCTGTGCGGTGCTCCCACCTCTGCTGGCCGCTCCGCCGGGCCTGCCGTGACGTGTCCAGCTGGGGGGGCAGCAGCAGCAGCCCCCGGAGACAAAGTTCTGTAGTGCACTGACTGCTATCGTAACCAGAGTCGGAGTGTCACAGAACTTTGCTTCAGGAGACCAGACCCGTCTCGCGGCTCGCCTGCGGGGAGAAGGGGCGACAAGAGGCGCGGGGTTAGCGACACGGCCGGGGAGGCACCAAGGGGGGCGCGCTGCCCGGCGGCAACGGCCCCGAGCCCCCTGAACCCCCCGAGCCTCCCTCACCCCTCATCCCCCCCCCCTCCTCCTCCTCCTCCTCCTCCCCCTCCTCCTCCTCCTCCTCCGCCGCCGCCGTTACCGCAGCGCTTCCCTCAGCCCCGCCGCCGAGCGCAACAGGTCCGCCCCCCTCCGCCCGGCTGAGCCGAGCCCAGCCGAGCCGAGCCCAGCCGGGCCGGGCCGGTCCCGTCCCGTCCCGTGCGGGTGCCCGCGCCCCGCGCCGCCCCGCGCGGCCCCGCGCCGCCCCGCTCCATCTTGACTTTTGCCGACGTGGAAATTTTGGGTTCGGGGACGAGCCGCGCTCTTATTGGCCAGCGCCGGGAGGGGTCGGAGGTCACGGCTGCTGTCGCCGCTCCGCGCCAAAGCCGCCCGGCGAAGGCGGTGCCGCCCCGCCTCCCCCCGCACCCCTCCCCGCCGGGCGGGGCCGCGCCGCTCCTGAAGGGAGGGGAGGGGGGGGAGAGTCGCGCGCGTGCCCGCGGATCTCGTCAGGGAGATGGGGGTGGTCGGCACCGTGGGCACCGTGGGGATGGCGACGGAGCCCGGGCAAAGTTGGAGCAGGGGAGAAGATGGAGAGCGCCGGGGGAGTGTGGGTCCTGCCCGAAACCCGCGGGGTGTGGGAAAGGTGGAAGGTCCTGCCTCAGCCTGACGCCAAGTGTGGAGGGTCCTGCTTCACCCTGCCCTAATCCCAAAATGTGAAAGGTCCTCCTGCACCCTGCCCAAATCTCAAAATGCGGAACGTCCTGCTTCATCCTGTCCTAACTCAAAATATGAAAAGTCTTCCTTCACCCTGCCCTAACCCAAAATTCAAAAAGTCCTTCTTCATCCTGTCCTAATCCCAAATGTGAAAAGTCCTTCACCCTGCCCAAATATCAAAATACAAAAAATCCTCCTTCACCCTGCCCTAACCCAAAATATGGGAAGTCCTGTCTCACTCTGCTCTAAACCCCAGTGTCAAAGGTCCTCCTTCACCCTGCCCTAATCCAAAATACAAAAAAGTCCTCCTTCACCCTGTCCTAACCCAAAATATGGAAGCCCCTGCTTCGAAACACCCTCTCCTCTCCCTCTCGAGTCCTGACAGGAAAGCTCAGGTGGATTGGTTTTCTGAAGCAGATGATTCCTTCTCTCTTCATTTATTTTATTTTCTCTGAGATTTCTTCTCTCTTCTCTCTTTTTTTTTTTTTTAATTTTCTCCAAGAGTTTGCTGCTTCTGGCACCTTGCTCTCTCGCTTCCCGCAGCTATTAAGAAGGATTTCAAAGTTCGCCTTAGCACAAAGTTGGCTAAATAAATACGCGCTGGAAAATAATAATCCCTGCCGCCATTCATCTCCGTTTACACCAAATTAAATTAATTAAACATAAAACCTGCCCTATCGATCAGCTCGCCCGCCAGGCTTGGGCAAAGCTGCTGATGCAGTCAGCGGTGGGGATAACCCACCTGCACCGAGCTTTGCGGCCGTGTAGGCCTTGGCTATAAAAATGCCCCCTGCGTGTGTCAAGGCGTCAGAGCAGCCCCAGAGGGACACTGACACACGGCTACGTGGCCGTGAGGTGTTGGGATGGGGAGCCAGGGCCCTGCCCCGTAACAGGATCACCGCTCCCCACACACACTCCCTTGTATCATCTTTGTCTAAGCAGGACCCCAGCGATGCTGGTGAAGCCAAGCCTTAGCTGGCATGTCGGTGTCTGAAAGGGAAATAACAGTGAAAAACATTTTTTTTGTTGGCATTTATATTTTTTCCAATGTAACATTTGGGGAGGGAGAATCCCAGAAGGATCTCTTACCTTTAAATACTTATTTTTTTCCTCCTCTTCTTCAGCTCCTTTGTCTGCAGAAGCAGAAATCGCAAGTCCTCTGTGAGCCTTCCCGAGGTGTTTGCAAAGCGTGTTCCTCCCCGTCCACACCTTCATCATGCCGTTTGCTCTCCAGCCCTGTCCCAGTCATTTTGCCACAGGTATATTATTTCCTACCTTCCCATTCCCCATCTATCCCTGGTGCCTAAGCGTGCAACCCCTGTGCTAGGCCATGGCGTTGGCCTCAGCTATGCTGTTGCCACTGCCATGTGTAGGGGAATATTGATTTTACAGTGTGTATGCTCTGTAAAAAATCAATATCTCAGTAGATTGAGCAGAGCGTGCATCAGTGTAATGGAGCCCAGCCTGCTAATGTAACATGCAGGGGTCCTCATTCAGAGATTGAGGTCAGTCAGAAAATGGAAATGTGTTTTCTTATTTTATTGTCTGTTTCAGATTTAATGTAGGTGTTTATGTTCTAGTGTTTAACCTACAGCAGGGCATAGAGTTGCTTTAAAGTCATATCCAACAGAATGTCACACATTTCATGCAACATACATAAAAAAAAAAATACGCCTCAGGCGTACAGCCCATCTTTTAGAGCTTAATAAACACCCTCTTCCACTTACCCACCCTATGCCCATTAAACAACGGTTGTGAGGAAAAATCAGTAATTTTTGTTTCTTCAAAACAAAAATAATTTTCTGTCATTGGGTGCAGACTTGGGTTCTGGGTATGTAATAAAAGACATGCAGTGCTTTTAACAAGCCCTGATATAAAGGCATGTATTAATGAATATCGTAACCGGGTATAAGTGAAAAGAGTGAAGGAGGAGAAATAACAAACATGCAGCACAAAACCAGAGGAAAAACCCACACCGATTTTAATGGACCTGGGATGTTAGCCAGAATGTGCTCCATGATACATTATCCGCTTTTTAAACCGTTGCATCATGCCTCAAAATTTAGCAAAAGTGCTTCTTGAAATGGCACGTGAAACCACTGCATTCTCAGGCTGAGAGTCAGGGTTAGTGTAAGCACACTGTTGTTGCACATCTCTGTAGAGGCTTGACACAGCTTCATCATTACTTAATAATTCTATCCTCTGTCTTTGTCAGGAGGCTATTGCTCACCTAGCAAATACTCTCACTGCAGCAGTGGATGCAGATCTATGCAGCGTGCACAGGAGTGAGTACCACGTTTGTGAATGGTACAATGTTTAGCACTGAAAGATGTGCAGTCAGAGATGCTGGGGGGACCCACATGTTCAGTAAATAGATGAAGGTGTTTGTTGGTCCGTCATCCTCTTCATTAATTGGAGACTTTCATTTGGCAGTCGTAACTGGGGAGGTTTGCAGGACTGGAGTAGTAATGTCTGCTTCCAGTTGCAGCTCTGGTTTAAGACACAGCCAATGTAAAAGGCTTCCAAATGTAAAATATTGTTACGTATAGGGGCTTCCTATACCAGAATTTCTCAAGTGTCAGTTGATTTTCTGCAGTCACTGACCACTGATTTCTAATATGTTTATCTATCTCCCTATAACGAAGAAATTTTCATTGTTTTCAAGCATTCAGGCTTTTTTTCCTTACAGAAAACTGTAAATTTCAACTTTTTTTTTTTTTTAAGTTCAAGAAATCGAAAGGAATGGTAGTAATGGTAGTATTACCAGCTTCTGGGAACCTATGTAGTTACCACTCTTAGGAGCATACCTCAAGATATGTCCTGATGTCTTTCAGGTATAGATTAAAAATAATGCAATACCATAAAATGTACAATATATAGGCTATGATATAATTTTATTTAATTCTAGAATGTTTCCACATACAACTTTGATAAACTACAATAAAAATGTAATTCCAATTTAAATGATAAGGTAAAGCTTATAGCTGAAGATTAAGAAATAATACTTAGGGCTGAATTTTACCTTAAAAATCCATCTTCTTTGGCTGCATCCTTCCAACCAGGAAGATTCAGGAAGGTGGTTAACACACAAGTCAGGCAAAAGCACGTAATACAAAGAACCAAGCTGTGACATTTTTGTGAAGTAAGTATAAACAATATTTCACAGAATGTCAGCTTTAACTTAAAAGGTGGGAAAGGTTTATAATACAATTTGCTTTTATGAAGAGAGGACTCCATTTTCCAAGGGTCCTTCTCTGCCAGTTATGAAATAGCAATTTGTGCTCTTTTTTTTTTTTTCATTTTAAAACAATTAGTATATTATAAGAATTACTATTTAAATGTAATTTGAAACCAGAGGTATGCAGGATGGAAAATTAATTGTCTCATTAGCAGAAGCACTTTTTTGGTATTCATGCCAATAAGTAAAGGCTCGGTCATAAACATCAATCAATATTATAGAACGTTTTAGAACAAAAGTAAACAATTTATATTATGACAATTTGTAGTGCTACTTATTGATAAAAGAAAAATGATACATATAAACTCAGTAGCATATCACTGTAATTCTTAGTTATTATCTGGGATTGTTTGCTCTTGATTAAATATGATTTGTGTTGTATCTATGTAATTCTGAACTTCTTTATTATAATAAATGTGCATTAAAACTGCATTATAATATCCTAATTGTGAAATTGCTGTTGAGTAGATTACGATTATGAGCACTGTAATGTAGTATTTTACCAAAATGCTATGTGTCCTAGTGCTTAAATTCCCTTGCATCTTAGAACCATAAAACTATTTGATAAAGTAAGTAAATAATGATAGATTGTGTAGGCATATCTGTGATAGGTCAGAAAAAAGAATCCAGGTTTCCTGAGTTCTCCCTCTCTCTCTAAAAATAAAGTTCCTATCTCTTTCTGTCATCATAGAGATAAGTGATTGATCTAAATATGATTTTGATAGCATCTGAACACCACAAAATAAAGCAAGATCCGGTATCAAAACTTCAAGATATGAGGGCATAACATGGCAAATTTTTCAGTTAAGTCATTGGAAATCTTTCTCTTGATTTTAATAAAAGTTTTATCAATGCATAATGTGCTGGCATCAAGT